TCAGGTAAACCCTGCGGGACAGCAGTTTGGTGTCCAAGCACCTATCCCAAATCAATCCCCTGCGCAGGCTCAACAGCAAATTCGGCCTCCTTCCGCCTCAGCGCCAGGACAACCTCGCCTAATACAGACCCCAGTGCTGCCTGAAAACAGAAATCTCAAACGGCCTAATGATGACGATGTGGTGGAAATTCCAAACCAGAACAAACAAGCTCAACAACAAGTGAACGGCAACAAGCCCCAAGGGTTTCAAGCTCTGACAAAGGAACAGATCAACGCGCTGGATCCGGTAAAGAGACAGCAGTACAAGAATTATCAGCTGCAGCACGCTGCAATGCGGAAAATCGTGGAACTCACCAAGGAAGTTCAGGCCAGCATGCCGAAGCTGCGGCCTATCACAAACATGGATGCGAATAGCAGGAAGCGCATCACTGACGTTTTGACGTCTGTCAACGTAAAGAACATGCTAGGCAGATTCGACTCGTTTCTTGTCGCGTTCTATCGCATCGAGCCAAACGATGCCGCCATCAAGCAGCTGGTGCTCCAAAAGATTCAATTGTTCTCGCAGTACAAACCGCAGTCGCTGCAGAACAAGAATTATGAACCGGCCGACCACTTCAGTATTACCGCCGACAACGCTGAAGGGATTGTTAGCAACATCACGGCCAAGTTTCAACAAACTGCCGCACAGATACCTAACAACAAAGCCCGCCCACAACCGGCGCAGCTCACGCCGGAAAATCTCAGTTTGCTGGAGGCGCAGGAGAAAGAACGCAAACAATCTCTCAAGACTAATCAAGCCCCTCCTGCCCCAACGTCCACTCAGCCACCCTTTCAGATTGGAGACCCAAGAGGGCAAGGTACTCCCAGATACGCGACTCCCGGACTCAAACAAGAAGACCTTAAGCTCCCCACTGACCCTAAGCGGCGGAAGAAGAACCAACAGCAGCCTGCAAGTACAACTGCGACGACCCCTACCGTGGTCACCTCTCCACAGACGACCAAAACGTCCAAACCTGCCGAGATGTTTAGGTGCCCAGTCAACGGATGCGATCATCAGCTCAAAGGGTTTGCAACTCAAGCCGAACTGGATCACCACCACAATATCGCCCACAAGCTGGACATGGAGCCTGTCACTGATCCCCTTGCATTTCTCCATGATTCGCTGCGCTCTGCCTTCAACCTGGACGAAAACTTCAATCAGATCAAAAAGACTTTCCCCAAGTCTGAGGGCAAGGCTACAGTTGCGAGCAACATTAAGAATGAGAGTGCTGCGGATACGCCTGTCCCCATGGCCAAGATTCCCAGCCAAGGGGCTGCAGGCACGGCTATCAGAGACAGTGATGTCTCGATGGAAGATGACGACCCTTGGAAACACAGCAATATCACGTTGGATCAATTGCGCGTCGCCTTTGGAGGTGACGACTGGGACGAGCTCTTTCCGTCTGAGGAAAAACTGTTTGAACAACAGTCCAAGTTCTATGAGGCGTACCGCAACAACAGCGAACGATGGCAGAAGATAGTGGAAGGGCCCAATGGCGCCTTGACCGACACCTCTACCGAAAAGTCCAAGAGCCCAGAGATGGCCAGCGACAAAGAGGGTTCGGCCGCGACGGCATCGCGTGAAGACAAAAAGGACACAGTGGAGAAAAAGGCCGAAGACGATCAATGGAAGGTCAACCTCGATGGAATTGAGGGTCTCGATCTCAGTGGGTTTGAAGACATGTCTCCTTTCGAAAACATCAATGATCTGGATGTCATGATGGGCGAGGACGGCTCTCCATTCGAACCAGTCGAAAAACCACAACTGTCGAATGCACAGATTCATCTTCAAGCTCTAGGCGTGGACCTCGATCATCCAGAAACCTGGACTGAGCAGCATAAAGCACTGGTACACGATCTGCTGGATATGTGAGCCCGCAAAGGTACCCTGTTCAAGGCCCGTACCTATTCTACGATTTGCGTTTTGTGTTTTCTGGGTGGCGATGGTGGGGACGAAATGTCCCATGGAAGTGTTTGGCGAACTGTTTATCAGCATGGCGTCCTGTGATTCAGCGGGATCCTAATAGGAAGCATGGATGGCTCGATGTCTTACGACTTTGATGAAGCTCCCCTGCGTGGGGAAGGGACATTTCACTTGTTGAATCGCGAAACCGAGAAGAGTGAATGGGAGGAAATTTATGTTCAGGGTCTTTTGAAGGGAGGGAAATGGAGCGGTTCTGTACATTAGGAGGAGATTTGGCTTGGGGATCAAACTTGCAGTCTTTTTCCTTCTTCTTCAGATACCTCAAAATCAGCAATCAGGCATGGGTTTCTTGTTTTTCGGATCATGTGCGACGGGATGGACGAACAACCGGGGACAAGTCAGTTTATGTTATGTTATTGGATGGATATCCTGGATGGGTTTGGGATGACCAAAAAGAACAATACCCGGCAGCGCGCGAGAAGTGCTGCCCCACCCGCTCTTGAATACAATTTTGGACTTGTCTTCTTCTCTTCTTGCGACTTGTCTTTTTGAGACTCTGCTGTTCTGATGTGTGATTCGTATGCTGATTCTTCTGGGGGTGCTTGGCTTAGTAGGCCCATGTAGGCCGTGGTAGGTCCTTAGAAGCCATAAAGAGGACTTTTCGAGGACTTTTAGAGGTATGTCCGGTACGATAGTACAGTCTAGTATAAAAGGTAAGACGGAGAGGAAGAGAGGAAGAAAGACGTCATCAGAGGGAGCGAGGGAAGGAGAGAGATAGACAAAAAGGGGAACGATTTGAAGCGTTCTGGTTGTGGTTTCTGTCTATACATATATGCGATCAGTCTGGTCATCACTGCATACAATAATTATATGTCGATCAACCGATGCGGCTTTGCCGGACTTATGCTCCCTTCTAAATCTGAAATCGGCGGGGTGAACGGCACCCCAGAAATGCGGAGCAGGTCAAAGAACCCATGCTCAGGTACAGTGTACATGCAGGTAACTACTGTACTACTTAGTGTCTGCTACAACGAGGATCCGACCCTTGTATCCTTTCTAGTCCCAGTGATGCCAAGACGGCGAGTTCATCAGACAGTTCGGATTTGCGGAGCAGATCTCTACGTCCAGAATACTACACGTGGGGCCCATCGTGACGCGAGGACACATGGGGTCTACGGCACCAAGTACCAGCACATGTTCCTTATTATTACCCGACCCACATAGGCCCAATCGAGTATGAAGGGGGATGGGAGAGACAAGCTCATTGCAATCTCACTCCAAAGCACCATGAGCGTCATCGAAGTACTGGAAGTACTCCTATTTTTTCAAAGCATCAAAGCACTCTTCCTTAGAACATTCCTATTTCTTCCAGCGTCATTCTTCCTTTTCATTGTGACGCATCGTTCTCCCAACGTACGCGGCCATAGGCTCTTTCAGAAATGCATCAGATGTCATGGGCCCGTGACCTCCTCGACGACGCACTAGGAAGGACTGCGCTGCTCACAGGGGCGGCCCGTGGAATAGGCAGCGAAACAGCCTCTCTTCTCAATAAAAATGGCAGCAACATTGTCATTACCGACCTACCATCGGCCGGGCCAGATGCAGAGGCGCTGATTCAGTCGATGCAATTCCCAGAACGTGCAATCTTTGTACCAGCCAGTGTGACGGAATGGAGCCAGCTTGTGCATGCTTTCAAGGAGGGAATACGAGTGTTTGGGAGGATTGACATCGTCGTTGCGAATGCTGGCATCATGGAGAGCCGAGCCGTTCTCGAGGTCGAGGCCGATGCCAATGGAGATCCAGCCGTATCTGGAGAAGCAAGCAATGTCATCGATGTGAACCTCAAAGGAACCCTGGACAGTGCGTCGATCTGGCTTTGCTTTGCTTTCGGTGCACATGAAACACCCAACTGATGAAACTTCCTACCACACAGCACTACGACTGGGGATGCATTATATTGGCAAAAATCCTTTGACAGAACACCACCATCGCGGATCGATTATTCTTGTAACATCAACTTCGGGATATTTTGGCTTCTCTGGCAACGCCGCTTATGTTGCTTCAAAGCATGGGGTTTTGGGCTTACTACGGGCAGCTCAACCACTCGCCGAAAAGGGTCGCATCAGAGTGAATGCCATTGCTCCGAGCTTCACCCCGACGCGCATCACAGCTGGCTTTGGTGACCGGTTCGAAAAGGCGGGCGTTGCGAGTAACACGACGGCACAAGTCGCTGAGGCCATCTCGTTGATGACTCTGGATCCCAATTGCAGTGGCGCATGTTGTTTGGTAAGTCGAGACTCGGCGGGGGGCCTGAAACTCCCCAAAAGAATGTCTGGTACAGGGTCAGCTAAACATACTGGCGTGGGGGCTTTAGGTTGCGGGCAAATTCGTTCGCGAACTCGAGCACACGCGGAAGGAGGTATTGCCAACTTGGTTTGGCGAGGATCTGCTTGAAGCACTGGTTGGATTTCGAGCCATCGTCCAAGAGATGGGTGGCTATCCTCTACCTCCTGCTGCCCCTCAAAATTAAAATGGAATGGAATACAGAGTCACAGTTGGGCGACTTGCTTGTCAGAGAATAGTCTACATTGAGACCAAATTTCGTCTATCCGTGACTTTCGGCGTTGAATCTGATGATCAAACAAGTTATTCTAGTTGCTAAGTGCGAAACTGAGGGAGCAAGGGGAGTGATTGCAAACGCAATCACTTTAAGCTTGAACCATTAGCGGTGGAGGGACGCGCAATTGTCTCTGGATTATCAGCCACCAACGACAAACAAACAGCGGAACATTATTCTTCCGCGCACCACACCATGGCTCCATTTCCCCGCGCGTTGCTCAGTCCCACAAGCACGGTTGGTGACGGTCCCGCAGACCCCGGTGGCCGTCCTGTGCCGGGCCACTGTTCGGGATCGTGATATAACAGCTGCTAAACTTTTCTTCTGTATCGAATTGTCGTGTGTCTGCGTGACTTAACTGATGCCATTCGTCAATATCGACTCCGCAAAGTTGTAGCCACTCGAGTTTCTGAAGTAACAATGGCTGGCAAAGCACAAATTTCTACTGGTAACCCTGGTGGCATATGGAGACAAAGGAAGTATCCCCCGACGGTGAATCGAGCTTGCCAAAGATGCAGCAGGTGAGTACATAAGGGTCGTCCTTGATGGTTGTATTGCCGATGCCTAAACCTTCCGTAGGAAGAAAATCAAATGTAAGTTGAGAAGAAGGTCATTGAACTCAATCACCTCTAACTCCACAATCCAGGTGATATGGGACGTCCATATTGCGGCCTTTGCAAGAAGGTGGGAGCCTCGTGCACTTTCCCAGTCAGACAGAAAGCATGTCGTGGTAGCACCACCTCTCCAAAGAATCCAAAGCGCAACAATACTGCGTCACATATCAACGACACCGTCGACGGGAATGGTTCGCTACATCATCAAGGTGGTGGAGATGGATTTGATCGCCTCACAACCTCCTTTTTCCGAGTGGTAGACTCGAACACCTTGTTACAAGGATCACAAGAATCCTTCACGAGTGAGCACCAAACGGAAGAATCAGCAAAAGTCTCTACGCACTCCTCTAGCGGCCAGCGCGACTCCAGAATCGAACTTCCAGAAACCGTATCTCTGCCAAGTATAAGGAGTGAGAGCCCCCCAAGCGTGCGGAATATCAGCCTTGATGTACAACCGCCCTCGTCAGAGTTTGGATCAAGCATTGGTCACGGAAGTGCCCAAGCAAACGAACCTAACGGTTGGGATATACCCGATGAAGCGGCAGTCGAAATGTGAGCGTTCCCATAGACATAATTGCACCGCTCAAAAATCTTACTAGGTTCTAGTATCAATCAATATTTCGCCAATATTCAACCTTGGCTTAGCATCCTACATCGTCCAATCTTCCATGAGGAGTACATGGTCACTGCAGGCCCTGAAATAAAACATCTCCGGCCAGCTGCAGAACTCGGACAAGCGGCAGTCTTCATGATCAATGGCATTTTCTCGCTGGCAGCAAGGTTCTCGACACATCCCTATTTTGAAACGACTCCGGTGCAAGAACGCGGGCGAAAGTTTGCCAGGAGTGCGACTTTAATCAAGGATACCATGATCAATACTATCGAGGAACCGACATTGGAATTCACCAAAGGCTGTGTTTTGCTGGCATACCATTACATAACAGCTGGCGAACTTGCACAAGGTTCTATGCTCACGAGCATATGTGTTCACTATGCGTACGATCTAGGGTTGGACATGGTTGACGTGAGGTGTATCGGTGATGATGGAAGCGGTGAAGACAACCTACAAGACGTGGATGCGTGGGTACACATGGAAGACCTTCGCAGATTGTGGTGGGCCATCTGGGAACTCGATGCCTTCGTCGCAACCATCTCCAGTCAAACGTTTCGGATCAACAAGTCCAGTGAGATTAAAGTCTTCCTGCCAGTCTCCCAAGACCATTGGTATTCTCGACAGCCAATTCTGTCATCCGTCTTGGACCATTGTCCTGCTACGGCATGGAAAAGCTTGGAAGGATGTCCTAATCAAAGCCCCCATGCCTGGTGTCTGGTCGCAAAACAAGTTAAATCTTTGCTTGCCATCGCTGCCGGTCGCCGGCACACGAAAGTCTCTCCAACAGATATCCACGAATTTGAAACCTCAGTATGTTGCCTCAAATTGGCCTTGCCTGTCCAATTTAACATTCAATCTCTGTATCTGGACCGCGATAACTTTGTGGACGGACTCTGGATTATTGATATACACCTGATGATATTAGCGTAAGTCTCTCTTTCTCTCTCTGTGTCCGGTATAGATACTTCTTTCATTCACTAACTAGTCGCAGTAGCGAAACTTTCCTCGCAAGACTTCATTCCTCGAGTCCCAACCTCAGCGAGGGCTATGACCTATACCAATCGTCTGCTTCTAGAGAGCACCGATTGAGATCATACCTGATCCACATTGCTCAAGTCTGGCCCTCGGAGTATATTCCTCTCACCAATCCGATCATGTCATGTGCCTTGGTGATTCCTGCGACGCTAAGCTCTCAACAACCTGAGATGGCCCCAACTTGTCTCGAGGTAACGACCTTGGTTTTGAGCCACATGGCAAGATACTGGGCTCTAGGTCACGTTGTTATTCGTGAGTATATGCGCCTGTGTTTTATGTACCGAATCGACTGACGTGGAACTTGTGCCACAGGACTGCTTTCAGCCATTCAAGAAGGCTTAAATCTTCAGTCACAGAGCCTGCAATCGAAAGAATCTGAGATGGCCAAACGATTCTCTACACTGTTACCGGTCTCGCCGTCTTCGACCTTGCATGATTGTTCCATCAGAACACAGTCCAGCCCTTCAACTCAGCACGTAGGCGAGGGCGCCACGCAAGGAGAAGGTCAATACCTCCCAAACGTCGACTTGTCGAATATGTGGGACATGGATTTATTACCGTTGTCGTTTGACTTGAACAGTTTGGGAAGTCCAGCCAATAGCCTCTGCGCATGAGGCACTGCAACGTCTGGACATGGAAAAACAGGACGCTTCACCCTTTTCCGAGGACAGATGGCGGGGGTCAAGATCAATGTATAAATTCTAGTATTCGTATTTGGCAAGCAGAATGGAATCCCGGAGTAAGTGGTTCCGCTGGTGAGATTGTGATCACGACTCAGGTCACAAACAAACAAGTCAAAAACCCCGTGGTGACTAGTCTCCATGAAACCATGCGAAAATTCATCCCGACCCGAACCACATGAATGTATGCGTTCGAAAATCTCGGCAAAACCGGGAATCCCCACAAGCCAAAATTTCGAGAGGACTGGACCTCATCCAATGATATTCTTTTGGCAGAATCCCCGAATCCGGAGAATTGCCTCACTTGGAACGGAGTATCCATCCCTGCATCCCGACAAAAAGGAAGGACGCTCCATCCTCAGAATCAGTCCTTGAAATAATACGCAGATTGTATCTCGGATCACATCTCGAGATCAGATCAACCTTGAAAAAATTCAGCGTTTTATTCATTTCTAGACACCCAAGTATCTCCGGCATCTTTCTAGGAGCCGGACGAAGCATACATGTACACACAGTTAACCCACGACGAAAATCCCATGTGACAAGATCGACGTTCATCACTATTTGCTCACGCCGACGTATATACTTTTTGAATGTATAGACTTGCACATGCTATATAGCTTTCGTTGAAGCATGCAACGCGTACGTAATTCGCCGGGAAGAGGAGGTTTTTCCGGCACCTTGGGTATTTTGTTGTTCAGCCTCGTTCCCACAAGGCTGAGTAGGTGGGTCAAATATTGCGCCAGGCCGAAATGGGAAATTTTCCATGAAGCGGATCCCATGCCCCGCATTTTTGGGACTGCAGCAAGGGATCGTGATTGGGGAATGCCCTCCTCTCACGGGGTATGGTACAGAATTTCCGGGACATACCTACCTAAAGACCATGTTGGCCCTTCGCCCATGATCGATAGCTCCGGGGCCCCAGATCGAATGTTCGAACTATTACAAAAGGTTGGTGTCTATCCATCTTGAAGTCTTTGGCCTTTGGATCACAACCTCTAACTAGGCTCTGATACGCGTCCTACATATTTCACCGTCATGATGCTGACTGGGTCATCATATATTACTGGCGTCGCCGTGCTCGGTATTTTCTTATTCATTCTCTGTACGGTGGGCAGGAGGGGGAGAAACTATCCACCAGGTATGAATCCCACCGTTCATCGACAGGGCAAAAAAGGCTCACATCTTTTGAACTAGGACCACCTACGCTGCCAATCCTGGGGAATCTCCATCAGATTCCATTCAAGGGCGCGCACTTCAAGTAAGTACTCCGTATACTGTATCTCAATTGGAAAATACGAGTGGGAATATGAAGCGGTCAGTCGATCAGCTAACGTTCCATGAAGATTTGTCGAATGGGCAAAGCAGTACGGAGGAATCTTTTCTCTGAAGCTAGGCCCTGGCACAGCGATAGTCATCACCGACCGTCGCCTGGTACGCGAACTTTTGGACAAGCAAAGCGCAATCTCAAGCTATCGACCGCCGTCATACGTGGGCAATCTGATCACGGGGGGAGACCATGTGCTCATCATGGATGCGAGTCCGAAGTGGAGGACGATGCGGAAACAGATCGTCCAGGAATTCACTGAGACCATGTGTGAAAAGAAACATATCGACGTGGTGAATGCGGAGGCCGTTCAGATGCTGCGGGATACTGTCATTGATCCCGAGGGCTTGATGAAACATCCAAAGCGGTTCGCCAACAGCATCATCATGAGTCTGGGTATCACCTCCCATGTTTGAGATCATGGAAAAAGGAAACGGATTACAGTGTTGGGCTAACCACAGTTCCTCTCCAGTTTTCGGGGTTCGTACACCGGACATCTCGACACCGCACATGCACCGAATGTTCGAGCTCATGGAGCATTGGTCACTCGTCATGGAGTTAGGCAGTACCCCTCCGGTCGACTTCTACCCGTTTCTTAAATGGATCCCAGAACGGTTCCTGGGAAACTGGTTGTCTCGAGCAAATCAGGTCAAACAAGAAATGCACTCTCTGTACGAAGACCTTGTCGAGGATGTGATCAAACGAAGACACTCCCTCGGTCCACGAGACTCCATGTTGGACCGAGTTCTAGACCAACAAGACGCTGGGAAGCTGGAGCTGACCAAGCATCAGCTTTATTTCCTCGGGGGCATCGTCATCGAAGGTGGTTCAGATACCACGGCGTCGGGACTCCTGGCGTTCCTCAAAGCTATGGTATGCTTTCCGGAGTTCCAGAAGAAAGCACAGGCCGAGATCGATAGGGTTGTCGGGGAGGACCGCACTCCACAATGGTCGGACTTTGAGAAGCTGCCTTATGTAAATCAGATCGTGAAGGAGTCTATGAGGTGGCGGCCACTGGCTGGGCTGGGGGTTCCTCATGCTCTTTCTGCGGGCGAGTCCACCTTACATTATGTACAATTTCTCTGACCTCTACTAACCTCTGATTTATTGCCAGATGCCCACATCGACGGCATGTTTTTGCCCAAAGGGGGCGCGGTCTTCTTCAACGTATGGGGCTTGCACAACGATGAGAAGTATATCCATGAGCCAGAACGTTTCAATCCAGATCGTTTCGCTGGGCGCACGCGTCTCGCACCTGAATATGCTACTTCGGCAGACTATGAGTCTCGAGACCACTATAACTACGGTATGTCTTATCTCGCATGTATGTCCTCGTAGCTGACTCAGATCTCCTTTCTCAGGCGTCGGCAGAAGATTATGTCCCGGCATCCACCTCGGCGAACGCAACCTGTGGATTGGAATGGCCAAGTCACTTTGGGCGTTCAATTTCGAACAGGACGTCGATTCAACCGGCAACCCGATCCCGCTGGATATGAATTATCAAACGGGCTACAGTGAAGGGTTCATTGTCTGCACAAACGACTTCCCGGCAAAGGTGACACCAAGGTCTGAGAAACGAGTCGAAACCATCATGCGAGAATTTGACCAGGCGAAATGCGATGTGTTCTCGAAGTATCCGTAGTTTAAGATACCTAGAGAAGCAGAATCATGAGGCCTCCACAGAAGCCGCCGATGCACTTTTGGACAAGCTGGGGGGAGGGGATCTGTTCAGTGTGTCACGGACTTGAGAGCATGGTTCGGTTGTATCTCCGTCGTATCGCTCGGGGTCACTGCTTAGTTGATCTGGTATGCCGAGACGGCGTCTATGTTCCAACCTGGAGGAAACACTCGATGCTTGAGGTACATACCGATTGTGGATGGGTTGCCGGATCTGCGGGCCAAACTTGACATTACTACACCAGGATCTTCTGTGTTTCTACCGTAGCCCTGATGCTGGTGTTGGTTGTGGTGTCTTTGACCCCAAGCAAAAGGACAGAGAGATGAATCTCCTGCTTTGATGTCCCTTTTTCACGACACCACTTTCTAGGGGGGTTTTTTTTTCTACATGCACCTACGGACCACCAAAAGAAGATCTGAGCTCAGACACCTCCCACATATTAAACATACGCTGAATTTACATCCGTGAGTGACACAAGTCGATACGCAGCTCGCAGTTGTTTGCCGTGACAGCATGGCAGAATATCCAGACCAGGAGGAGTATCTGCTCGGATTAAGCCAGATTGACGCCGAACTCAACGAGGTCAGTTGCTGCTCCCTGCCCCCCCCTTACTCTCAGGTTCGAAGCTCCAATATTTCCTGCTCTCCTGACCATAAAATGTTGACTGCTGAGCTGCTTCGCGCATATTTAGCTACTCGAGCAAAATCCCCCTCCAGCCATCGACTACTCGAATCTAGAAGGATTCACACGAATGTACCTCGAGAATGCCGAGCGGGCAAAAGGCCTCCTGGGCGAAACACCCGACGGAGTCAAGTGCACCGAACTCCAATACCCGACGCGTGATGGGGCCTTTCTGCGGGCAAAGCTATTCCAACCAACCAGCAGCAACGTTATACTAGGTCGGGAGAGGAGGGGTAGCCCTCTCGTCATGCTCATCCACGGTGGAGGATTCTGTCTCGGCTCCCCAGAGGGCGAGGAGCAGACGTGTCGCAATCTCGTACTGGCTCTGAACGCGACCTGCGTCGCCGTCGCGTATCGACTGGGACCACGGTATCCATTCCCCTACGCCCCGAATGACTGCTGGGACGCGCTGAGATGGTGTGCGAGCAATGCAGCGTCCTGGAACGCCAATCCCGACGAGGGTTTTGTCGTCGGCGGGTCCAGCGCAGGCGCAAACATCGCTGCTGTTCTTGCCCACCGCGCTCGCGACGAGGGTTTCTCCCCTCCCTTGACGGGCCTGTACCTCGCCATCCCGCTACTCTGTCCGAAGGCAAAGATCCCCGAACAGTACCGACGATCCTGGATTTCGCACGAGCAGAACGCAAACGCGCCGGTTCTTCCAGAGGCGGCGCTCGAGATGTTCATGGGCGGCTATCAGCCCGACGAGAATGACTCGGTCAATTTTGCCGTCTTCAATCACCCGCGCGGTCATGGCGATTTGCCCCCGACGTATTTCCAGGTCGACGGGATGGATCCTCTGCGGGACGATTCGCTCATCTACGAAGCCGTGTTGCGTGAGGAATACAAGGTGAAAACTAAGATGGATGTGTACCCCGGCCTACCGCATGGGCACTGGAGCTTCTTCCCCATGTTGAAAGCGAGCATCAAGGCTCGAAGGGACCAGGTGGAGGGTCTTGGATGGCTGCTTGGGCGCAAGCCCGATTGCTCCAGGCTGACCTTTGGCCCATCTGCAGGGACTTTTTAGAGACATAAGAAAGAAAGAGAATGCTACCCGGCTTCTAGAAGGCGTTACCTATGTTCTAATTTCCCATGCAATCTAGAGCACACAAGCATTGGAAAAGAAGGGACAGCCGCACCGAGAAATTCTGTCAGGCAGTGCAGACCTTTGGTACCGACCACTTGCTCACCCAAATTCACCCTATCGAGGGGAGTCTGATCTATTTGCCAAGTCGCCGTTTTAGTATTTTACCTCTCTCTCTCTAATAGAGCAAACCCGGAACCGCGTCCTACCTAACAAACATTATCCATTGACCATGCCCCATGCCATGAACCTCGGATCCATCTCAAACGTCAAATGTTCTCATAGTTTGAAAATTTTTACACACACGAGATCGCGCAATCCTGTCTGCCAAGTACGTACCAGCAGTATTCGTACACACTACTCGGTAGATCAGAACCTCGTCGTCCTAGACCCTAAACAGATTGCGTCCAGAGGTATGGTCGTTGGGGACCTAATGTCCATCAATATATACATCATTTCAATAACCTTAACTCCGAACTGTGCTAGGAATCTCCCAAGGGGCAAGGCTACCTCCTACTTCGGCACTACAAAGACACATCACACACACACACACACACACACACACACACACACACACACACACACACACACACATGCACACCACAACCTTAGTAGAACACAGTTTTGAGCCTTGAACGTATTGCCTCTGTGTCTATTAATCGACATCAAGCGAAAAAAAACATTCAGCAAAAATGCCCACCTGGCTCATCACAGGCTCCTCCTCCGGCCTCGGTCTCGCCATCACCCGCTACATCCTCAGCCAGGGCCACAACGTGATCGCCACGTCGCGCAACCCAGCAAAAACACCCTCTGCCGTGCGCGAAATCACGGCGCACCCCAACGCCCGCTGGCTGACTCTGGACGTGACCTGGTCGAAACCGGACGTTGACGCATTCGTACGGCGCGCGTGGACCGAGTTCGACGGGATCGATGTCCTGGTCAATAATGCGGGATACTCCCTCCTCGGCGCGGCGGAAGATATTCCCGAAGACGGCGCGAAGGCGCAGTTCGAGGTGAATTTCTGGGGTGCCGTGAGGGCCACACAGGCTGTGTTGCCGCTGATGCGTGAGCGTGCTGCTGCCGCTGCCCCTGCCGCCGGTGGTGGTGGTGGTAGTGGTGGTGGTGGTCGAGGAGACAAGGCAAAAGGAACGATCGTCAATATCTCCAGCGTAGCGGCCCTCGACCCCCTCCCCACATGCGCCATCTACTCGGCAGCCAAATGCGCGCTGGAGGCGTGGTCGGACAGTCTCTCCAAAGAGGTCGCGGGGCTGGGGATCCGCGTGCTGATCGTCGAGCCGGGTGCGTTTCGGACAAATTTCTTCAGCAAGGACGCGTTGCAGATTGTGGGGCCGAGTGCGGCGTATCGAGGGGACGAACAGCCTGTGGGTAAGACGTTGAGGGTGTTTGAGAGTGTGGATCCCGACAAGTTTGGGGATCCGATGACTGCGGCGCAGAGGATCTTTGAGGTTGTGATGGGAGTCGGGTTGGGTGAGAGGTTGAGTAGCGGTGGTGATGTTTTGAGATTGCCGCTTGGGGCGGATTGTTATGATAGAGCGGTCAAGAGCCATGAGGCGAGAGGGAAGGAATTGGAGGGTTTGAAGGAGGTCGCTTTGAGTACCACTTGAATTGAATCATGGTACATTAGATATGGTCGATTCCAGGTCCAGGTCACCAAGATACATACACGGTGCCATATGCCACAGTTCTCCTGTAGGCTGTCAACAGGGAATAACATTCATATATACCTGGAATAGCTTCTGGCAGTATATGGTAGTAACCTGCTACAGTAAGCCCCATTCAATGAATCAAAATCACACTGTATTCGCCTCTCTCTCTCTCTCTCTCTCTCTCTCGCTCTGGCCCCCTCGCTATAACTTCACCTCCGGTCTTTCAGTCCCTTTCACCACATTCTCAATATGATAAAACGGCAAAAACCAAGCCAAAGCCTTGCGCTCCTCTTCTGTCGCCTTGAGTTTTTCAAAAGCGTCCCTTCCACCAGAAACGATCGCTTTGACCTGGATCTCCAATTTCTTGCCATTCGCATTGTACGGCACCTCGGGGACCCGGAAGATGAAGGTTGGGACATGTCTCCGGCTGAGATCCCGTGATATCTGCGCACGGATCGCGTGTTCCAGGTCGGGATCCAGGATCCAGGGATGATGTGTGCGATGCTGGTACGACGGTGTGCACTTGACGAAGAGCACAACGCGTTCGACCGAGTCAAAGTATGGAGCGAAGCTTCTCTGTTGGCCGACGACACACGCGTCGGAGATGGACTGTGAGAATCGAGGCGTGAGGAGTACGTTGTAGATGTCGGAGCTGCCAAAGCGTACGCCGGAAGGATTCAGCACGCCGTCGCTGTGGTCACGTTGTCAGCGAGCGGGTTTTCTTGTACTCGTGGCAAAACCTACGATCGTCCAAGGACGTAAATGCCTCCAGTCTCAGGATCGACCTTTGCAAAATCACCGTGGGTCCAAACATCTGTATTTTCAAGTCAACTCGTTTAGCAGTTACTTTGACAAATAGTAACCAAAAAAAAAAGCTGGGGAGGATCAAAGATGAGAATCGAGGTGTTCTCACGAGGGTATCCCGCAAAATAAGCGTTGAAGTATCTCTTCCGGCCAGGATCTTTCAAGAGCATGACTGGCATATTAGGAAACGGTCGGCGACAGACCAACTCTCCGCTCTGTCCATCTTCCACTTCCGTTCCATCGGGCCCGAAAACTGCAACGTCGCATCCCAGGGCTTTAGTCGAGCATTGACCCGGATACGAGGGCAAGGCAGGGGTGCCGTTAACAAAAGATCCGCAGAGTTCAGTACCCCCGGACATGTTGATCTGACAGATTGGACCGAAGGCTTCGACCAGCCATGCTGCAAGGGGAACCGGGAGGAGGGCGCCGGTTGATATGACCGTGTGGAGATGAGAAGTGAAGGATCCTGTCTCGGTCAGTCTGATAATTACCAGGTTGTGGCCCCTCTCCAGTCAAGTACTTTGAGAGCTTTGTATTACATACTGGGCGTTAAGCCGAGTTTCTGCAGTTCTGAAAAGTATCTCGGGCCAGCCCCAAAGGATGTCACCCTGTACCCGTGGATGCCGGGTCATCAGTCAATTTCAATTGCCAGTTTCGAGTTGTTCAGGTCGCTCTAGTGTGTTGACTGTGTGACTTACTTGTGAGAGAAGAGGGCCTTCAAAAAACCCTCAGCGCTGGGAAAGAACGGGCTGCCGTCGTACAATACCATCTTTGAGCCAGCAAGCAGAGCTCCGAGTGAAATGTTCCAAAGAGTCCAGCCGATCTGGTTGATGAAGATTGTCAGAGAGGCTACCATGCTAAAGGGTACAAGGCTATAGCCTCACTCCACTATAGTGAAAATGCATATCGTCTGGCCCCAAGTTGTGGTGGAGAACGTGTTCTTTTAGTCCGTTCAGGACCAAACCCTAGATGCCAGTTCAACACATGTCACCACCTTTAACAGGGCGAATTCTGTTTATGTCAAAGGGGGAGATCCGTACACCATGGGAATGGACGATGCCTTTGGGAGCTCCCGTGGTTCCCGAAGAGAACATGACGATGAAGGGAGTTGAAAACTCGACTTGTTGAAACTCGAGTCTGGCTGTTCTTGTGCCTGCCGCACGACCAAGAAAAGTATCGAAGGTGACGCTGTGAACTTGAAAGTCAGCGAGCTTGGTCCTCGAAAGCATACTTTCTTTCAACTGTCAATTGACGGAGTGACGCTGCTCACGTACCACGCAGTAACGGATGTTAATGATGATGTCGATCCTTCGTTGTCTACTACGATAAGCTCGCAGTTTCTGTTCACCAATTGAACTTTCCTGGAAGCGTTTGCGATCTTGCCGCTGATGTCGATCCTATTCCCATTGTATGAATATACCGTCTCAGCAATCAAAATCCGGGGCTCGAGGACTTTGAGACGATCCTCGAGTGCCTTGTCACCAATATCGGTTGCAAACGAAGAAAAGAGTGCCCCGAGTGCTCCAGTCGCCAAAAGAAGAGCCAGGGATCGTACGTTGTTTCCACCAACAACTGCTCCGATGTTTCAGCGGTGGTCAGGTAAGGTACAGTAGCAGTTCAGAAAGGGGTTCCAAGTTTTCGCACCTGTGACAACCTCCCCCTGTTGTAGTCCAGATGCTTTCAGAGCATCAGCGCACTTCTTCACCAGCTCTTCCAAGTCTTGCCACGTGTAGATCTCTGGGTTCCACATGTTGCCTTCTCGCATGTTGATGATCGCGGTGCCAGTTTGTTTCCTGGCAAGTACGTTCTCTGCGAAATTGATCTTCGCCCCTTGGAAGAACGTTGGAAATTCATCGATGCGCGCGTTTTCGTCAATCGCCTACCAACAACCATGTATTCCACGTGAGCGGCCGGTCAAAGTAGCAAGGATGTCCAAGTCTCGAAGCTAGCTTACCTGCGCTGGCTTGTCTGATCCGATAACCTCGAAGTAGTCCCAGAAACTCGTCCAGAAATCGCTCATACGAGTGATGGAGAACTTGTGCAGATTCTCATAGCTAGCTGTACCATGTCTCGTAAGCCAGTGCTGATACCATGAAAACTTCGGGCATTATCCTCTGCAAGCCTGCAGAGCCGATTTCGTTGAACTTGCAAACTTACCTAACTTGACCTTGTATCTCCTACTTAGATGATCCCTAAAGTCGTGTAGCCTTGTCCGTAGGCCTGGCGGTGGCCTGTATGCTGGTACCGCAGCCATGAATGAAGACATAGGCTACAGAGGTTGGTGCCCAGGGATAAAGAGAAGGTTGAGAAACAGTTCTTTCAAAGCACAGAAGGAGAGTAGCTCGGTGCGCGTGAATAGAGATGGAGATTTCAGGCGGCAAGAGCCTCAAAGCTTGAGCCAGGTCTAGCCCAAGCATCAAGTCCAAGCATCAAGCACACGCGTGGGTCAACTTGACTGAGGAGAGTATGTATCAGTCATACACATGTCGAATTGGAATAGCCCACACTATTGCCACAGATAGGCGAGTAGAGCTCAATAGAGGTCAGTCGTCGACCAATAACCAGCTCCAGTCCTCCGGCATCTTGGCGGGACTCTCGTCGTCTACTACCAGAGGTAACAAGCCGACTAGACATGATGCTGCTGCGAACGGCGTCCATAATCATATCCACTTGGAGGAGAAAAGGCAGAGGAAACGGCGAGTGACGCAAAACAGGGTGTGTGGAGTGGCCGTGGCCGTGACCGCCCAGAATTTCTGGGACACTGAGTACAACTTGTTTGATACCTGAGGCGCTCCCGAAGTTTTCTCGTTCATTGACGATTCATCATACGATATTTCCTGCATAGTCCAAAGGTCCTTGTACGTTAACTAATTCAATGTCACAGTGACAATCCCGGCAACGGGTGTGACATCAAGACAACTCAGCCTTCGACCTGAGAGAAAGAGAAAGAGAGGAGAGAAGTCAATATGTCGGTAGCAATAGTCACAGGGGCCGCCAGGGGAATTGGCAGAGCCATCTCCGTGCAACTGGCAGCCGACGGATTCAACATCGCCCTTGTCGACATCCCCGCGCGGTCTCGCGACCTCGAACAGGTCAAGGCGCAAATCGAGCAGAAAACAGGCCGTAGAGCCCTGTGCCTCCTCACCGATGTGAGCAACGAGACCGAAGTCAAGGCCATGGTGGCATCAACGGTCCGCGAGTTCGGCGAACTGAACGTCCTCGTCGCCAACGCCGGGATCGTCAAGCCAAACAAGCTCTTTGACCAGACCACCTCGGAGTGGGACGACGTGATGGCCGTCAACGTGAAGGGTGTGTTCCTGTGCTATCGCGAAGCGGGCCAGCAGATGATCAAGCAGGGCAAAGGCGGCAAAATCATCGGCGCCTGTTCGAACGCTAGCTATCGCCCGTCCGTGTCGGGCGTGGCGTACTCGGCGAGCAAATGGGCTGTCCGGGGTCTTACGCAGGTCACGGCCCTGGAGCTCGCGCAGCACGGCATCAATGTCAACGCGTACTGTCCTGGCCCTGTGGAGACGGATATGTGGACCGAGATCGATGCCAGCGTCTCTAAGAACACGGGCGTACCGCTGGGGTCGACTTATGACCACGCAGTGCAGACGCGCATGGCGCTCAAGCGAAGATTGACGCCCGAGGATATCGCTTTGACGGTCAGTTTCCTGGCCAGTGAAAAATCGAGGCACATCACGGGCCAAAGTCTCTTGGTGGACGGCGGGATGTATTTCAGTTGACGAGAGAGAGACACGGGGAAGGAGAGAGAGCCGAAAGGGAAAACGTTCAAACCAGTGGACTACGGAATTTATCGAGTCCCTTGGTCTATTGACTATATCCTACATGCTATGGCCACTTTTCGGCATTGTGAAATGTGACTGGGAATGAGAGTCTCTCTCCTTGGACTTCTAGACAAGAAAAAAACAAGGTGACGAAATATTTTGTTGGGAATGGAACACGTCCTGGTCTAGAAATTTCAATGCAAAGGAAGCCCAATGGACACAGGTGAAAGAAGAAAGACCAATAAAGAATATTTATTATGCTAAGTCTAAAATATGAATGCATTCCTTGCCTTTGATCCGGAGAAAAGCAGCTCGAGCTCATCTATCTAGACTGTTACTGATCAATGACCATTCACATGAATCATCTCCTGGACAAGGGGAACTTCGCCGTTGATCACGCCATTGGCCTTGATACTAGGCAGCTGGTCCATCTTCGGCGGTTCGAACGGGGGCGTTGTTCATCGTCGCAGAAAGCAAGGCCCCAGGAGCGTCCCTGGTGCCCAGATAGTAAGAGATGTCTCTGCCGTCATACTCTCGGGTTGTAAAACCATTGCCCAAGAAGCCAAAGGGATTGCCGCTCTGATACTTGATGTCGTAGTCCTCGTAGCGTGGCTGAGCCAGCAACTCAAAGAAGAGAAGCCTCGAGCCGGGCCACATGGCCAAGGGTCCATCCTCCTTGCCCTGTTTGAACCAGCTGCGACATCCTGACGCCCACGCCGTGCGCTGGAGGTACAGATCCGCATGCTCTATGAACGCGTCGCACACGGCTCGTCGTGGGGCCATCGCCGTGATGTTTTCCGTTTGCATCTTCTTGATCACTTGTATGAAATGATGCATGAGTAGTTCGATGATGGGCAGAAATGACCCGTGGCCCAGTGGGCCGTAGGCACCGGTGACGGTCCAGTAGTTGGGGACTATTTAGCTTCAAAGTCAGAACACAGTTGCTTCCCCTTGTCTGGAACCATAAAGCAACGATTTATTAGGGGCTTAGTGCTTACTTTCAGGAATCCCGATCGACAAGTACGATATCGGCTTCTCCTTCTGAATGTCTTGGACATTCTTGCCTCTCGCCACGATGGGAAATCGAGGCACCCATGATGTATTGAATCTTGTCATGCGACGACATTTCAGCAGGCTGTTCATGAGCTCAAAAAACAAAACCGGGCCCGAAGAGACATACCCCGTGGCACAGATGATAACATCGACTTCATGTTCCTGTCCATCATGATCGATAAACCCTTTCGAGGTGACTCTTTTCATCTCTTTGCTGAAAGTCGTGACATGTGGAAGGGTCAGGGCTTCCAAAAATCCGTTTCCTGGCTGTACCTGGTCATGAGCACAGGAAACACTTTTCCAGAGGAGGACGATTCTCGATTCTTACCGTTGGTCGCCGACAACCTACCCCAAAGGTTGTGGGGACAATCGTGTCAATCAGATCCTTACGACCGTTCAGCTTCTCATGCATTTGTTGTGTGGAAAACTGGATGAAATTTCAGAATAGTGCGTCAGCCGAAATGCCCATCGCTGCCTATACCTGGAATATATCGGGGGGGGGGGGGGGTTGGGGGGGTTTCAAATGCCATACCTCCTTTGCCTCTTGCGCTTCAGGTGTACCTGCTAGGATGAACTTGAATCGCTGATTGAGTTCGTCTTCAATGGCCTTGGTGTATGCCACATATTCTGGAAAGTTCTCGGCGAAGTCTCTTTTTTGTTTTTCTGTGTCTGCAATCCCCATCAGCCCCCGTTGGTGATGAACTGTTCACGCCTGCGAGATTATAGATGATGCCCACATTTGAAGTTTTCGCCATTCGGTCCAGCATACTTTTGAGCGAATCCAGCAGTGATCCATGTTGGCGACCGTACCCAGGTATATAGCTTTTTGACCTTGGACGCAATGTTTGCTGTGACCTGAATGCCGCTGCTTCCAACGCCGATGACTGCAACCCGTTTATTGTCCAAAGTGGTGTTCACAGGGTAGTTTGCCGTGTGACAAAGTATGCCTTCAAAGTTGTGCAGTCCTTGAATTTCTGGCCACTTCCAATTGCTGTGTACGCACTGGTTAGTCTCTAGTACCTTCTGACCAATGTTCAGATTTGGATGCTCTTTATACTTTAATACTCCTCCGCCATTGATGAGGATTTCGGCTTGGTCCACAAACACCTCATTTGTTATGAGATTTTTGACCTGCACATTCCACACCCCAAGGTCCTCGTCCCAGGTAGCATCGATGATCTCGTGATTTAATTTCATGTACTTGCGTAGCTGGAACCGCTCGACAACGTCGGCAAAATATTGCCAAATTTCTTCCGAGTATGAGTAGAAGTGTGACCAGTCAGGTTTTCGGGCCCAGGTAAACTGTGATGGGTTAAGATAGGAGTAAAGCCGCGCCAGCAAGACTCAGGGGGGGGGGGATTAATACCTGATAATTCACGGAAGGGATGTCGCAGGCACATCCTGGGTATCTGCATCCCATCCACATCAGTTCGACGGCGCTTAGTTTTTCCCTCTGGAGTCCTACATCGCCAGCTCACCTGTTCTCCAGCCATGTACCCCCAATATCAGCGTTTTTATCATAGCATACCCATTCCGCGTTGTGCAGCGATTCGGCCGCAAATTTTGAGAAGCATATCCCCGATGCGCCTGCTCCGACATGAATGATTCGTATGGGTCGTTCTGTGCCAGATAGCTGCTCCTGAATACGATACCCATTCACACTCTGTCGAGGCCAACCATACCTGTCTGGGAGTGTTTCAAGGTCGCGATTGATCTGAGCGATGGTCTCCACAACCTTGGAGTTACGGGGGGGAGGGTTCATATTTTGTGGTTCTGACTGCTGAGTGCAATGAAAGAACAGGATCATGGGTTGGGACTTGCTAAGCACCTCGGAGTAAGCGACGTGTTGTGTAGAGTCCTTGAGCAACTATTCAACAGTGATGTATATATTGTTGATGTGTTCCAGGCCATTGAAAGTATAGTCGCAGCCCTTGCGCCTGTAAACGGGAGCGGCTCCATTTCCAGTTGATCGACGTCCTCGCCGGGCCAGCCTTCGGTGGAGTCTGCGCACAGCATGACCATGACCGTGAGCGATACCACAAAGACTAGGTCGAGTCGTATGGCCAACGTATCTGATCCCGTAAAGTGGCGCGAGTGGTTTCGCTGTCTCCGGGCCTCAGCTTCCAAGTTCCCGCCGAGCCGCCATGTAGCAACGCCCAAGAGAGTGCGCCAAGACGGCGTCTTGAGTGCCTGGATCTGGACTAGCCCACAGCGCTCACCACCCACAGCGGGCGGTTCTCTGCAGCGCCGGGTCGACTTGTCACTGGGACGGCACAAGAGATCAATCTTGGTCCAGCGGTCGCCTCTCGTGAGAAGATGACGAGCTCATATCTGGGAGTTTCAAGGGAAACAACATGATCGAATCTATGAGCAATTCCAGTCCGCCCTCAAACTCAGATAGACTGCCCGGAGAGACGCAGAAAGGACGGGGGCAAAATTGTGGTCTCAACAGCTCCCTTAAGCCTGAGATGCTTGTCTTGCCGTAGCGAAGAGCGTGCACGTGAGAGATTAACTGAGCAGGGGAGGTACATACCTCAGTTGGGACCAGGACGCGGCATTCTGTACCATGTGACCCCTGCTGCATGTGGTGCCAGGCACCAACTACTCTAGTTACAAGGTCTCCCGGAGCCCCTCTCCTCACTCCCTGGCCAGTTCCCCAGCAAGCGAGCCACCTAGAGCCACTCCTCTTGATTTATTAGGTAAGCTTAGGCATGCGGGGTGGTACCCTTGGTTTGTGGGGTGCTGGACCCTGTCAGTCCTTCTCAGTGCCTCCATGCATCTACCTTATGCTTGGTGTCGGAGTCGCAAAAAATAATATCTCGTCTTTGCTTTCTGTCTTGTCTCCGTGGCCGTTGATCTTATCCGTCCACAATTCGAGAATCCTAGACCTAGATACTCGCGGCCACAAGTAATGCCAAATGGACGGTGCCTCCACTGGTAAGCAGGCACCTCCAACACAACCACAACCACAACCACAAGCGAATCAACCTCACCGTGGAGGACGAGTTGCCTGTGTCCTTTGCCATTCCCGGCGCATTCGTTGCAATGCATATGACTCTCAACCATGTTCGAATTGCGCCGCTGCACAAGTCTCGTGCCAGTTGATTGAATCGAAAAGAGGCCGGTAGGCACTCCTCTACTTCATCCACCTCGTCCCCTGCGCCAGCGACATTTGAACTGATAGGGACAACGGCAGATATATACGGCCACGGACCAAGAACTCACAGGCTCGTTCGTTAGGCTTCCGTCTTCAACCAGATCATGATGCTTCGAAAGCCGCCACGACCGCTCAGAGCGTGCAACCTCCGATTGGTCAAAGACTGCCAGATTCCACATTCGATTTCAACAAGTCAGTTGATGGAGTCTCGTTGAGGATCGAGCCACTCGATTTTGGCTCCGATGTCGTGCCTTCACAGCCATTGGCAGGAAATGAAGGCTCTTCTAAAGAAGGCTCCGAGAACCTCTACGCGCGGCTGAGTGAGCAGTGCCTGTCGCCTCCGGAAACCCGCCACATCCAAGGATTTCAAAGCATATATCTGGGAGAATCGTGGCTGTTGACATACGTTGTTCAAAAGGTGATCAATGCAGACGCAGCATCCGATATCAGTGGCAGCTCTCCATCTTCCCTCCAGGTCCCCCTGCCAGCGACTGTCGGCGATAAGCCTGACAATTTCGGCTACGACACCAGACTGGATGCGGAGGAGATGGAAGTCCTCAATATCAGAGGAGCCTTTGTGCTACCCGAGCGACGAGTTTCCGACAAGCTGATCCAGACCTTCTTCGAATGCGTCTATCCGGCATTTCCCATCTTCGATCGAGAGCACTTTGCACAGCTATACGAGTCGAATCAGTTGTCACTTCTCATATTGCACTCCATCTACGCGGTTTCGAGCACGATGTGCGAGGAAGATGTGATTGCCGAATCCGGATTTGAGAGCCGAAACGCAGCTCGTAAAGTCTTCCTCAAACGTGCCAAAGCTCTTCATGACGCAGATTACGAAACCAACAAGGTTACACTGGTTCAGGCTACCTTCCTCCTAAGCTTCTTGTGGAAGGGTGCCACGGACGAAAAAGATATGTTCTATTGGCTTTCGATAGCTATCGGCAACGCTCAAGGCAAAGGAATGCACAGAACGTAAGCATTCAACGGCTCTGATCATCAGGTGTTTTAGAGACTAACACACACCACCAGAACCAAAGATTCCTCATTGACGCCTCGAGACCGCAGGCTGTGGAAACGAATTTGGTGGTCACTCTACGTGAGAATCCCTATCACTCAGGGAAGGGTCTTCATCTAATGGTAGCAGGTCCGAGACCGCCACTGTTCTGGCAACATTGGCCGCCCCATGCGCATTCGAGATGATGATAACGACGTCGAACCCCTCGATGAGTCGGATTTTGAAGATGATCTTGCGCAGAACCCAACACTGTCAACACTTTATGGACGGAGTAGAAGGGTCCATATCCTCTTCGCGATTGCAATGAGCAAGCTTTCAGTCATTTGTATGTGCCCCCACCAGTGTGCGAATGACAGAAGTTGAGACCGAGAGCTAATGAGCGGCAGTTGGTGCAATCACACTGGCAAAATTTTCCACAGGCCCGTCAAGACAGAGACTGAGCTGTGAAGAGCTCGGCTCTCAGTTACTGGAGTGGCGACAGCAGTTACCCCCGGAACTGCAGGATGGTGACGGGGAAGAGGACGGTGGCTTCTGGCCCAAGATGCTGGATTTGAGTTACAAGTCCGTCAAGTTTCAGACTTCTGTCTACCGCTGGGCAAAGTCCCTCATGCTGACTCCATCGTATAGTCATCACCTCATCCTGCTACATCGCCCTGAGAACAGCAAAATCGTGGTCGACAAGAAACTGCTCCAGTCGCCAGCATACACTGCCACGAGGAGGATAACTGCCATTGCTGATGATTTCCTTGCATTGGGTCTGCTTCGTAAGTCGCAATTGCAAATGTAAGCCCTCCAACGCCCCCACCCCCCTTGTCCCAGGTTTTTACCATGACTGAGACAAAGCAGATGCCCAACTCTGTTCTCGGCGCTGACCATGTATGTGCTCATGGCGCGAAGTCCGGACAGCATGCAGCGAAGGCTTGCCGAACACAAGGCACAGCTTTTGCTACTCGCCTGTGCCGAGGTTGCAAAGACGTGGCCGGCGTGTGACTGGATCATGAAATTGTTTGAAACGATATTCAAGAACATGGAGAAGAGAAGTCAGACGCAGGTCCCCCAACCGGCCCTGGGCGATCCGTATCATAGTGGTTCTGGACCGACCCAGCAAGCAACTACAATCCGCGCCGGGCAGGGCACCCACAGAGAGTCTCAGCACGAACAGGTCTCGCTGAACAATTACCAAGATCAAAGGGCATCAAGTCCATCGGCAAACATGTTGGATGCGGGAGTGCTGGCGGACATGCCACTCCACCACCAGTTTCTCAATGTGCCCGAATTCTGCGATCAAGATCTTCTCAGCGTGCTGCCACTGGACTTTGGACTGCCTCACGATGTCTTTCCTTACATGATGGAAAGTTGAAATGTTGAACTTTTATCTCGATTTCTCTCTTTATTACACCTCCGAAAGCGTGTGGGTGAGTGACCTGTCTAACTAGAAACCAGAACGACATTCACTACTCAGTGTCGGCCATCTAGCAGGGGACATAGTATCCTAAATCTCCATTCTCGACCTCCAGCTGGGTAAAGCCATTACCCAGAAATCTCCAGCGATTCTGCGAAGACGACCGCACATTAGATAACTCGATCGTCTCAATGTACATAAGCAATGAAACGAAAAAGCCCTTACCTTGCTCCGGTAGTCGATGTCAAAATCTTCTCCACGAATATGTTCCACCATATCTTTCTGAAAGGGTTGTCAATCCACCGTCAAGCTCGGTCATTAAGGCAAGTACTCACATAATGCAGGATACTTCCAGGGTATAAGGCCGTCACTCTGCCATCGACTTTTCCGTTCTTGTACCAACTCCTGAAAAGGCAGCAAAATTAGTTCAAAAGTCCGAAGGGGGACCAAAACCTGGATGTTCCAGAAAAACGCCCGAGGGAAAAAATAGCATAAAGCTTGTGCTTTTCGCCTTTGCCTTGACTTTGCACTCACCTGCATCCACTAGACCAGACAGTCCGCTTCATGAGTTCATCACCCCAAACGTTCCAATCATTCTGGACTTGCGCCTTGACCTCGAACGATCTGATATCTTCCCGGGTCATTTTGACCAGCCACTTCAGCACATAGTCCGCCGTCCAGTCAATCGCCGACGTCAGGCTCCCGTGTCCCACTGGTCCCGCAGGGCCCATGAACATGAAATAGTTGGGCTGGCCATTGGTAGCGAGGGAGAAGTAGCTGGTAGGCTCATCCTTCCACTCGTCGGCGAGGGATCGCCCCTTGCGCCCGAGTTGCTGCCACCTGGGCCTGAAGGAGACGTCAAAGCCCGTGGCCATGACGATTGCATCGAATTCGCGATGTTTACCGTCCGCTGTACGGATACCGGTCTCGGTAATCTCGACGATCGCGTCGTCGACAAGCTCGGCGTTGCCTTGCTTCAAGCACTCGAGATATCCCGTGCCAGGTGTTAGACGCCGACCTGTGTGTTGTATAATTTATCAGCCAGTGGTCACCTGTAATATCGACTGGGCATTGGGGATCGGGTTTTTGTTTTCCATTCAAAAAATCAACCGTGGCCACTTACAACCAAGCGACCAATTTGGCACCAGCTTTTCGATCAACTTCTCATCACCTCCCAGTCGCTCGTACATGAGAGCCTTGACACCTTTCATGGCTTCGAGATTTGTTGGAGCTCCTTCGATGAGCTAAATGAAAATATGCCCCGATCAGCTTGCACCTCGACTTGGATTGTGGCAAGCCACTGAGAAACTCACTGCCGAGTAGAACGTGTTCTGCACATGGACGAGCTTCTGCCGCAGGTCCTTCAGCTCTTCGGGATGCGACCGGAATCTTGCTTGCTCTTCGGTCGTATCTGCGAGCACGTTTCATCAGGTCCATGATCGATATATTTCGGCCCCAAAAGATATATCGGAACTCTTACATGCGGGATTTCCACCAGGATCTTTCGAGAAGTCATCGGCAAAGGGGGCCGAGATCCACTAGGAATCCAGATCAGTCTCACACTCGAACACATCCCAGCTCAACCATGACAAATTGGGAAAATTTTTTGGGGTAGGAAAAAAAAAATTAAATTCTTACAGCTTTCGATCGAATAAAATTCACCATCTTGCTCGCAACCTTTTGCATTTCTGGCACAATCTGGATCCCTGAGGAACCGTTGCCAACGACAGCAACGCGCTTCCCGGAAAAGTCAAAATCATCGCGCCAGTTGGCCGAGTGACACAGATGTCCTTTGAATTTGTCGAGACCAGGAATTGAGGGCCATGACCAGTGACTAGAACCGAACAATGGGTCAATTCAAAAGTGCTGCAAAATAATTCTCGACAATGCTCGGGGGAAATGAAAATGTGTGGGAAAATGAATGGCCACATACTTGAGGACTCCCGAACCATTGAGCAGCACATGACACCAGTCATCCACCAATTCTGTTCCTTTCAAGACCTGGATCTTCCAGATTCCGCCGTCTTCGTCCCAGATGGCCGATTTGACCTCGGAATTGAGCTGGACGTCCCGATCGAGATTGTACTCTCTGGTGACTTTCTTGAGGTATCGTTGGATCTCTGGGCCGGTGGCGTAGCTGGTCTGATGTCAGGACTCGGGACTTTGGTGTACTTGGTATGGGATGAAAAACAAAAGAAACTCACTAATGGCTCCATTCCGGATTGGGAATATCGACAAAGGTATATATATGCTAATAGAAATTTTGAATGAGCAAGGTGTCCGACATGGCTCCGGAGTGATCACCAGAACATACAGCCGGAACGTCGCACATCACCTAGGTAGTCGAATTGTCAGTACCTTGATCACAAAGGCTTATGGTCCTTGACCTAGAGAATTCGACAAACGTACCCCAGGATATCTGTTCTCGTACCAAGTTCCACCTATCTCGGGCTCTCAAACAATCAGCAACTCCATTGAGTCTTGACCGGTCGTGAGCTCTTTTCCTCACATTCTTCTCGTATATCACGTGCTCAATGATATCGTCCAGCTTATGGGTCCGTTGAATCTTGTTTGCCATTGTCAACCCTGGAAGAGAGAAAAATTCAGTATCATGACTTGTGACTCGTCGGCCACGGCTGCTGGGAGTCGAAATGGTTCTCAAGCACGCTCACCACTGAAACCCGCGCCGATTGTTATGACTCTCAATCGAACATGTGGCTTGCCCAAGAATTCGTCTCGTATATCCACCCAATTCGTCGGCTTCTGCTGCTCGTGCTTTGAAATCCCATCAACGAGAGTGGCATCGACATGGTCGATGCCATTGGCGATCGGTTCCTTCTCTCGACCGTCTATTGCCACAGCCCCAGCGGCGGACAGCGCATCGACATCCACACTCATGATTAAAGGCCTTTTGGATTGTGTCTGACTCGAGAAGGACTGATGCTACCTTGGTTGTAATTCCTGAATGGACCTGGATTTGAAACGATGAGTGCCGCACACCGAACCTTAGTCTTTGTTATTCAACACCGAGTCACTGACAACTGGTAGACCATATATTTTACGGTGTTTGTCTCCTTGACAAGGTCTAGGTACTTGTGCAGGACTGATCCGGATCTAAAATGTGGGACCTCTCGCAAGACCGGAGTACTATTCACAGTTGTCACCTGCTGTGTTAGAATATCACGACTTAAGATGCAGCATCATGTCATTCCACCAGGAGACAGGGACACGGACGAACAAGCGGACGAGTAAGACTTGTCACCGTATCCAACAGACTGAAGATCCACTACCTCAGCCGAATAGGACATCGCGAGTGATCATTGGCCGAGGTCGAAATGCCCCGAACTCCCAAGACGCCAGTGATGTAGCAGAAAGTCACTGCACGAGGTTCGCAAAGACTTTCGATAACGGCATCTTGGCATAATTATACATTATCAAGAACCCGAGAAGAATGAGGAGCTTCTGGATACGATAACAACACCTAATCCGTCTAAACTACTCTTTCTACTATTGTTTCTCCCGCCTAACCCCAAGTGACGCTCTCGAATCCCCGTGGGGAGGCCTCAATCTCCACAGACTTGACGCGACATCATGAAGCCGAACACGACTCCTTCGTGATTCGTAGGTTGTGAATCCCCGGCATCATGCTCAATTCGAGAGCAAATGGGGGCCGGCTAACTGTATACGATAGATCCTTGGCTTGCGAATAGTGTGCGGAAAGACTAAAGTCGCAGTATGTTGACGGCCCGGTCTCGAAGAAGTTGAACCACTGTACTCACAAACAAGGCTGCTCGGACCTTCTGGACGAGGTCTCAACTCTCACTACTGCTGAGAACGCGATTTTGTCGATTTAATCTCGAACACCCACATCCAAGTCCCCTCTTTACTTGACGAAGAGCGGACTGAAAGAATAAAGTGTAACACACAGCCCTTCCTCAGTTTCGAGCTTTGAGCTTTGCGGGGGACGCAATATATAAAACAGTCTACAGACTACCGTTGTCGCCCGTGCTGGTTTCCTTCCCGACTCACAGGCACCAGCTTCGTTGGAGATCACTTTGAAAAACTTTCGAGCTTGCACCATTTCTACCTGCCTATCTACGTACAGGCTATCTGGCCAGCCTACACGACGAAACATCTCGCACCTTTCAAAACGTTTTGAGAAAGCAGACTTGCCTCTCCGTGACCGCCCATCATGAACAAATTCCAAATCCTTTGTTTGATGTACATTACGTTTGGTGGTGCCTTTTACGGATACGACTTTGGTGTGTTTCCATGTTTTGTTCATGATATCTATCTTATCCCCCCCATATGAGAACTGCCATCGGCACGGACTTTAGTCTTTTTAGTGCCACGCGAAACATACAGACTGACAGCTAAGAAACCACTTTCCCGGGACATTGCTGATCACAAATCCAGGAATCATCTCGTGCGTTTTGGGATACTCCGAATTCATCAGTTACTACGGCTTCACTCCGACAACTATTGGCGCCTTCAACTCGGCCTACTATGCCGCTTGTGCCGTCGGAACCGCCATGAATGGGTATTTGCCCAACAGGTATGGCCGGTTGTGGACGATACGGATCGGATGTTTGATCTCGTTTGTGGGAATCATTCTCCAGACTGCGGCCGTCAACTTTGCCATGCTCTTGATTGGCCGCATCATCGGGGGCATTGCCACGGGAATCATCTTTGGGATTTGTCCCGTTTATGCCAGCGAGATCTCTCCGCCTCAGATGCGTGGAAGAGCAGGTGCTTTATTCGCGTATGTTATCCCAAAAAAGGCATTCGGCCCCGTTTTGACCAAGAACTGACTCCCCTTTTTTTGGTTCCTTGAACAGGCTCAACATCTCCTTGGCCAATTGTCTCACCGTCTGGATTGGACTTGGTCTGTACTTCATCCCTGGGAATGCCGCCTTCCGCATCCTCTTCGGGTTCCAACTCCTTCCCGGGTTATGTATGCTCGCAGGGTCTCCGTGGATGCCTGAGTCACCACGGTGGCTGGCCCTGACCGACCGATATGAGGACTGTCTCGCCGTGCTCAAGCGGATCCATGGCAATGAGAAGGACGACTCGGATTCGTTCTTCGCACGCGAATTCCATCAAATCAGAGCCCAGATCGAATTGGAGAAGAGGGATAAGATCGGGGTCAAAGATATCGTCATGAAGCCTTCTTACCGTCGACGAGTGGTTCTGATCATGGCTTTTTATTTTTTCCAACAGTAAGTTTTCCGGCACCTCACCTCCTTATAGCTTCCGAGAGAGAGAGAGAAGGGGGTGGAAAGCTGACGAGATTTGCACAGGGCAACTGGTATTTTGCCTCAGGCGGTCTACCAGGTGCAAATCTACACGCTCTTGAAAACCACTCCGGTTATGTCACTCGTACTCGTCGGAGTCTGGGGCAGTGTTTCGACATTCGCGGTTCTCAGTCTCGGCTTTTGGTTCGACAAGATCGGCCGTCGAAATGCTCTGGTGGGTTCAGATTTTTTTTTTTTTTCAATCCCCCTAATTCGTTCGTGCTCGACTGATGCCAGTAATCTGATTGTTGCAGTTCCTCTCCTACGCCATCATGATTCCCGCATCGATCATTATTGTCGGTCTGTGGGCTGCCTTTGAGCACGGCGGGCAGAGCAATCTCGGCCTAGCAAAAGGCATCAACGTTGGTATCTTTCTGACCGTGTTCGGATACGCGGCTGTTATGAATACCTTTGGCACCACAGTGAGTACTGAATCTTCTTTTTCACAAACCCACATCAACACACACAAGAGAATCCTAGGTTACTAACCACCCCTTTCCTCTAGTACGCATCAGAAATCATGCCAACCAAGATCCGCGCGACAGGAGTGGCGGCAGGCTACATCGTTTTCAACGCCATGGGTGTGCTAATGACCCAGACCGCGCCACTGGCGATCGCTGCCATGACCTGGAAGTACTTTATCATTTGGCTGGTTCTCGACTGCCTCTACGTGGTCATTGTGTACTTCTACTACCCAGAAACGAAGAACAAGACGCTCGAGGACATCGCCGGTGTGTTTGGTGACAAGGTCGCCGAGTCCTGGGAGGAGACTAAACACTTTGTCGAGGAGGACAATGGAGTGGTTCAGTCCCTGTCGCTTTCTGACGAGAAAGTGTCCAATCCGCAGGTGGTGGCGTCTCCTTTGCACGTTGAGACTGTTACGCGGTCTGCGGCTTGAGGGAGTTTGGAAAGTGGACAGTGAACAGTGAGAAGTAGACAGGAATGTCTCGTTGCAGCCCCTGCGGCCTGTACATTGGACAGCTTGATCGTCTCTCAAGCGCACGATGCTCAAATACGTTTCAGGATGGTTGCTTGTCGAGAACAACGCGATCGGGGATGTTGGCCACTTCCAGAATTGACACTTTCGACATATATATATATGCATACATGGTGAAGCCTCACTGGAGCACCGCAAAAAACTTGGATAATAAGGCAAATGTCCCTGTTCTTCGCAATAAACCGCCAAGCTGCCTTGGCTATCATATGTTTCCATCATCATAGGGTTGAACTTTGGACCTTGAAAAATCCACTCTGACAGCCTTGAGGTCGACATCAACGAGGCTCTGCGCTCGCTTCTCGTCAATACGTGCAGTCCTTCCGGTGCTGTCCCGCTTCGCTACAAGGTGGAGCCACAACTCGAGGACGCCGGCCACCCGCGCATGTCTTATCAGGAGAGACGGGTGCGAGGGCGTTTTTGCCCATTGTCAACAGTCTTGGAACTTTGAGGTGGTTGCTTTAGACTGTGCAAACCCAAGAAGTTTCCGAGTCCTGAGTAGGTGGGAAGAGACTGGAGGGACTGGAGAAGGCTTGTGGCAGGGAAAGCTACAAATGCGGTTGGTCCAGTGGAGTAAATGGAATTGTGCTAACTAGACCCGGCAAAGTGTCATGAGGCGGCGTCAGACCCTCTCCACCAAGACGCCGTCTTGGCCTTCAAGGGGATTGGCCCTCAGCTTGACGCACCCTCGGCCTTCGAAGTCGCCAACTCTGCAGACGACATCAAACGTCTTTCCCGATCTCTCCATATCGCTGGTCATCGCGTACACCTACAATAGCAAAGTTTCTGGCAGTGGACGCGTGCATGGTTTCCAGAATCTGCGCTGACTTCTCCACTTGACCGGCTGACGAGAACGGTCTACGCTCTAGATTGCAAGTCCTCCCATCACCTATTGACCTCTATTTGTCATCTGCGAATTGAAAAGGACGACCAAATAGCCTCGCGGCCAAGGCTTGTGCAAGGTTTCGTGAAGGTCAGAGGTTCTTGATCGGACTTTGCACTCGGGTTTTAAGACGGCGCATTGTTGTTTATTGGATCCTGGTGCAATAAGAGGTTGTCTCTTGGTGGTGGCCTGGTGTGAAGATCGCTGGCTGTTACATACTCAAGGGATCTCGTCCAGAAAAGGAAGGGCCTCGACACAGTCAGTCCAGTCGAAAACGAACAAGGCAAGCAATAACGACGACGACGACGACGACGACGAGAAATTAACGCCACAAAATTGAAAATAAAAATGGGATCTGTCAGTCCCATGCCCTTGTTGGGCGAAGAGAGGACGGTACCAACCTTCCCATGGCGTGCCCGTGGCCTGGTCTCGTCGGGTCTGCCTTTCCCTGCCCTGGTCTCCAAACACGTGGATCGACTGGCCAAAAAGCGCGTCTTCCTCGTGGTGTCGGGATCGCTGGCTAAGCATACAGACTGCGTGACAAGGCTGAAGGATGCGTTGGGAGACAAGCTGGCGGGTATCAATGTCGGATTTCCAAGTCACACACCATGGACACACGTGTTGAAGTTGGCCGAAGAGATGTGAGTCTCTCTCCCCTCCCCCTGCGGAGGCTTACAGTCTTTTCGATTGCTTTGTTGTGCGAAGGCAACTTTTTTTTGGGGACGCG